GTCGGATTAGTGTAGAATCGATTAATTTTATGGAAGAAAACCTTTCAATGAGCCGTAGTCCGTAAACTTGACACGTGTCGGGCTGTGATTGGAACGACTTAAGAAATCCAATTTCTTACTCTTGTAAGAAATTGGATTCCTAATAAATTGGAACGGATCTATATCTTATAGGGGGGTCGACTGTAATGCAATATTACCATACAGTATTATTACAGTAATTTCTTAGCTTCTATATAATTTGCATATAACAAAATATTTAGAGACATTATGCCTAGAGATGCCACTAGAGACATTGTCATCATAGTCACACTGTAAAGAGATAATTATTAATTTTATGATTGTTGTAATTTAGAATTAAATGAAATTAATGGTTATGCACATCTAAGCGATACATCACCATCCAAGTAATAAGGAAATGCATTAGAAACGGCACCACCAGGGCAACACGCTATAATAAGCAAACCAGCTGTTAGATTTCATTGAAACTGAAATATTTATATCAATATTATAAAGAAATCCAATCAACGGCATTATAACGAATTGGCAAAAAAGTCCAATGGCAGGTCCAACGGATTTTTGAATCTCATCATAAATCTAAATTGCAAGAAGTATTGCATTGTATTTAAATATGTATTAATAGAATACTGGTCAACGTTATTGCCTGGGCGAGCAGTAAGAGAGTGCAGGCTTCTCGGATGACTTTTGTGATTTCGTGTCTGAGTTTTAAAAAAACTTTCCACGTTAGATTTTGATGATTTTGATGTAGGAATACTCAGTAGACCTCTGGAATGTGTATAAATTATATTTTGTAAAATATAAGTAACTCTCAGACAAGATATAATCAAAAAACGTTTAATCTTTGACGCTTAATAACAAAGAGGTATTTTGACATTTTTGGATGCTGTTTTTTTTTTTTTTTTTAAATATGAAGCCAGGCAGCTTTTTTAAATATGAAGCTTTATATTTTTGTAGAGTTTGGTGAATTTCGGTTGAACTACGGAAAAGTTATCACATTACTGCTCAAATTGCTCGCTCAGACTAACTACATCGATAAACATCGTTTCATGTTTCTCGAAGTAACTTACTTAACTAGTGTTAAGAGATCGAGTGTTCTCTCCTCACCAAAGGGCTTTTGTATGTTGACATCTATCTCGTTTAATATCTGAGAATCGGGTAAGATAAAGAAACGAAATTTGGCGTGGTAGCTTGTATGTAAGGAGCATTGATTCTATTGAATTTTGGTGGTTAAAGGTCGAGAGGATGAGAAGATAAAGAGGTGTCATATGCCATATCTCGAGAGGGGGTCGGATGTAACGAAGATGTTTTTTATTACGAGCATTTGCAATTTTTTATGAAATTCACCGCTACTATTAAAATTAATAATTTTACATTTTTAATTATTACAAAATGGCAAAAAGTTTTCTATGTAAAAATTTCATAACAGATGGCACCACACAATTTTATTTGTTATAATTAAACCGTAAAATTTATTTTTTAACAGCCGGGAAAGTTACGCAATTTGTTGCTGGATTTTTCAGGTTAACTCTTTAAAATCAATTGTAGACTTTCGTCGGATGGCAATTTTACTAAAATTAATTTGAAGACGTAGTGTGTCCAAAATTAGTAATTATCATTTATTCACTTTTTGTGTTCCAGAATACAAACAATTTTTCTTTAAAATCAAGCTATCTTTATTACAAAATTTCATACAAACGCAGAAATAATATATGAAATACTCATTTTCATTCAATTATAGCGGCTGATTGAATATGATCACTGAACACTGGTAGTCGGTTGAAGGTTTGCGCCTCACCAACAGGCTACCCACGTGGAATTTCCTGGAATTTTTTCACGTCTATAAGATAGGAAAGAAAGGTCATGTGATCTGGCAGGCATTTGAAATGAGAAAACGTTGCTTTTATATACTTTAAAACTTAATTATATAAATTTCTAGCAATGGCTGCCGTATAGGTGTTATTCCCACGGCACAGTAACGGATTCCCTCTTCTAATTCGCTCCGATTGCATGTCAGGTCTGTCTACAATGAAAATAATTACGTTCATATAGTCTATATGAACGTAATTATTGTTCATATAGATATATAATCCATATATATATATAATTCATATATATATATAATTCAATATATATATAATTCATATAGTCTATATGAACGTAATTATAGTCATATAGTCTATAATATACAACACTGGCGCTTTCGAATTAATTAGTGATTCCAATCGTTTCGTGTTTTCAACAAACATTATTAGTTTGGTGGACTACGGCGCGAGCGATCTGCTAAGAGGATGTCTACCGAAAAACTTGCTATGGGAAATACGACCCTATCTATATGTAACACAGGCGAAGAAAACCCTAAATATTCTACGTAGCTAACCCGTCGAAGAGGCACGAACCCACAAATACCACCATTTAGAGGTTTTATCCACTCGGTCACTCGTGGGCTCGACAAATATTGTTTTACCGTGTTTTTATTGAAATAGCAATAGAATTTTACATTATAAGAAATTTATAATGTTTATTAATTTAATTTAATTAATTTCTTAGCACGCTTAAACTTTACGAAAGGAACACAGCCTTAAATTTTTAAGTTTCTAGCACCAGTAGTTTTGGCTCTGCGTCAATTATCCTATCAGGACTTGTTCTTTTATATACGAGTATATAGATGACTAAACTACATAATAAATAAGTAGTTATCATTTGATTTGTTACCTTTCTTAAAAAAATAATTTAGTTATATCACTTTTCCTTTGATCTTTTACATAAATAAGGAAAACATTGCGCTTTCTCAAACTTGAAATGCATGTTTAGCATTAATAAAAGTTACCAAAGTGATTAATTTACTGTGTTTTTGTTGTTTCTTACTCCTGTTTTAGGTATTCGATATTCGGCCGAATACCGAAACTTGGGCCGAATAGGCCGAATATCGAATAGTAACCGAATATTCGTTGCATCATTAATTTTTATGCATTCACAAAGCTATTCTTCATAAATTTTATCGTGAAAATGTCGAACTAATTTTTTTATTGACGTATTTATATTTAATTTAGGAATTGGTCTTTTCACTTTTAATAATGTTTTTTTTTTTTTTTTTCATTATATGGTCTTGAGCCAAAATTTTTTAAAAATAAATTTTCAATATCGCAATTACATTCTGAATTGCTAGTCACGATATAAGGGCTAAAATTAAAAATAAAATTATAAAAACTTACTTGGTGAAATAAAATGTGTGGTGGATATACATACCTGATACAAAATATTCTTCAATTGTATAAATATACTTTTAAAGAAAATTATAATTAAATATAGATAAAAATAACAAAATATTCTTTACTTTTTAAATCTTAAAATAATTCACTTAGTCAAATAGGTGCCGGCTCCGGGGCGTAGTTGAGTGGCGAACTGCAGCTGGAGCGAGAGATAACGAGTCCGAAGTAGGGTCGATGACATCGAATATCGCCTTTTGTTTTAAGAATGATTTACACAATGGCCAAGGCAGGTTCAGAAGTTCTCTGTGTCCTTGGAATCCCGATTTTTATCACTTTTTTTTTTATTCCCAAATCGATTATTTCGATTAGATGTTTTTACTCATCTCAGCTTTCTAATTGGTCGTCACTCGTTAGTAAATGTAAGGAGATCGGAATCCAAATCGCGGGATGAGTCAGAATCGACTGTCAATTCGATCCAAATCGAAGATGACTGATCTTTATTATTCTATTGTTACAATATGAGAACTACTCTTTTTTTTTCCTTTGTTAGATATAACATTTCCTCATATAGTCATAAATTTAAATTTTCTACATTTTAATATTAATATATTAATAAATATATATATATATATATATTACAATTTTATAAATTTGTCTTACATTTTTGTATGATTCCGGCCCACTTCCGAAACCTCACAAATGCATTCATTGATGAATAGTATTTACAAAGGGCGCTCTACTCCAAGACAGTATTTAGCATTACGGTATGAAAACACGACACAAGGAAGGCGTATTGTTATTGTTTGTCTTCATTTATATTTGCAAACTGTATCGTTTTATTCGTAAATAGTAAATATTGTTACTTTTATAACGATATTGATAATTTGTTGTATAAAACTGTATCTTAAAATAATGATTGAGGGACTGACGATTTGATACACAAACACAAAAATAAATAAATAAATAAAAGTAAAATAAGACGTGTTCAAAGAAAAAAGAGGTAAAAATAAAAAACAAACTCTGTATTAATTTTGACTAATCTTCCTCTTGATGTCCACTCGATCACCCCAGTATAATGAGTCCTATCATTAATATAAGACAGAAGTCCTAATTGACAGAAATAATGTTTCATTTCTATAAAATAATACAATATTTTCAGAGTTGATTTTGCTTAGAATTTTTCACTTGAATATTAAAGCCTTCTGGGACTAATAATCTATTTAAATTTTTCAGTATTTTTGAAATTTCTTTAAAGTTTGAGTAGTGACATTTTTCTTAAAACTACGAATTTAGTTTAATGTAATTAAATAGAAAGTAACTAATCATTCTGTAACGGATAAAACTGTGTAAGGATTGTATTGTTTACAACAGGACGCTGAGCGACCTCACAATCACTCAAACAGGACAGTCAATGAAGGCCGTATATTATTCTATTTTCTGTAGAGCGTAACTTAATAACCACAAATAAAATTTAGTATTTAACATTACAACGAATTATTTAATATTAATAAAACCATGATGTTACAATTTGGTAAACAAAAATTTAAATTAAGCGTAATAATAAACCAGTAAAATTATACATAAAAACGCTAAAGTAGTAAAATATAAAAATATTTTATTCGTAAAGAAAAGTAAATACGAGAAAATAATTTATTACAAAAATTTTACAAAAACAAATTTCGAAAAAATATATAATGTTGCATGCCTGCACGCGACAATGAAATAAAACACGAGAAAAAGATCAACCTTTCCATATGGGAGAAGATAGCCTAAAGCACACTATCTGTCAATCGCACTAGTTCTATTTTAAACGATATTACTTGTTATTTTCTCTGCGTTGTATGTTAAATTTGAAATACAACGGCCGTTGATGACGTCACAGTAATTGGTTACGATTGCCCACTCTTTGTCTTTAGTGTGCTTGCTGAAAGAAAGTTCGGGCTTTTGATTTAATACTTTCGTTGTTTTTCGTAATTCTTTGGAGAAATGGTAAGCTAAAATATTTTAATTATACAGTAAGAAACATTTATAAGAAATACATTACACAACACAACATTGATCATAAGCTCTAGAAGTGTATAATAAATATGCTTACTTCAGAAAATGGCATCGTATCTGAAATTGAACCTCTAATGAATCGCATTATTAAGATCTGAGATTGACGATTGGTGATAAAGTACTGTACATCTTATTTTATTAGGTTTATTCTTCAATGAATTTTATGGTAAATGACAATATGAAAAAAGGAGGTTTAAAAATGTGTAACGTCCTATTACGAAATGTTAGATCTGACGATTATAATGCACGAAAATTCGGATACGAGATTAAATTCTTATTATTTTGTGACTTGCTGTTAATTCCTATTAGTTTTATTACTCATAACATTAAATAAATATGTTTGTGAGTAGTTTAAAATAAAGCAGAATTCCTCGAAAAGTAGCCCCAAGTCTTTGTTTTTCTACTTTTTTCAGTAGAAAAACAAAAAGCCGAATTATTTTTAAACTAACTGAAAAAAGTAGTCAGTCATCCAAACGTAGTACCGTAGAGCCCTACAAATATCTCAATTTGTTACTCGTAGCTCAATCTTGTAATCCCGAAACTCAACCGTATTTACGAAATAAAAGAAAAAAAGGGATAGACCATTTGTCAAGTGACACCCGAAAGCCCGAAAGCGTGTTACTTTAAAAGAAAAGCCTTGTTGACCAGATTAGAGTTGTTCTTGGTCTATTGTTTTCGACTTAACCTACTTATATCACTGTTCGGACAGAATTTTCACTTTGAATTACGAAGTAGCCGTATTTCGAATAGAATTTCTTAACGTGTATATCTTTATACTCACGCCCGGAACAAAAGTACAGTCAAGAATTAACGGAATTTTGAACGATCCTAGTTCGAAACCTGAACATTCCATCTTTTATTTCGTCTCCCCCTATTAAATAATAACCGTTTTGTTAGACTATAGCCTCAAAATTAAGCTTTTTACAATTTCATAATAATTAAATTAATGACATAAAAAGTTTTTAAAACAAAATCTGATCACAGATGACGCCACACGCGATTTTAACTTTTTTTCTGGGAAAGTTACGCAACTCATTGGAGGATTTCTTCATTAAATATTTAATATTTACATTAAGAATAACACAACTTATCATATTTTATTCCAGCATTTTTTACAAATAAATAATAATACATATTTGTATATAATATATCTTTATTCTAAGAGAAACACATTACAATTGTGAGCAACAGTATATAAATAATATACAAGTGAATTATTTTTATAAGTAATTAATAAATAATGTAAATTTTATTTTTTCTTTACAAATAGTTTAAAATTTGTTTGATAATGTACTGCATTGGTATTTCTGTTTAAAACTTATCTTTATGGTTTATTAATGTCAATATGCTTCTAATTATAAAACAGAAAAATTTTGTCGATAAAGTGTTTCGTCACTTGGAGAAAAATGACAAAATGTGACGTTACAACTGACGACGGATAATTCTATAAAGAAACTAGAACTAAGGTTTTGTATACTCGAACGTAAATATTACATTACTTTATTTATTTGCACTTGCATTTTTTTACATCTTTACGATACAAATGGTTACTAAATCCAGAGTATTAGTGTTAAAAATGTCTATTTTATTATAAATTTTACTATCTTAAAATAAAGCTTAGTATTGATTATAATATTATAAATTCTTCAAGTAATAAGTATGTTAAGCTAAGGTAAGCTCTAGATAGCCTATGATTATACAGTTCCTAGTTTTATATAACTGGTATATAACTTAACTATGAACTAGTTCCTAAGAAATTCTTTTACATCTGTCGAAAATTTGTTTGTCAGGGAAAAAGAATAATAATTTAGAAAATTATTCAGGCGAGGCCCTACCCCTGTATCTCTGTAGATGTAACTACTACGGCAGTGGATAATGACTAAACATTTTTATAATGCATGAACCTGTGTACAAATGCGTTTGTTTTTTCCAAATATTATCTTCTTTTATTTATCTACAAAAAGAAGAGTAAATTCTGGCCAATTCGGTTCCTTCCTGATTACGCCTAATATTTTTTAACTCTCCGTCCTAAGGGAACTAAGAGGCCTTTTTAGCAAGTCAACAATGGGGCAGTTGAGTGGGAGAGACGGGCCCGACATATTCTGACGGACCAATCCTTCAAAATTTCCTGGGTTTTTCGATCAGTCTGAATTTGATCTCGGGTCCCAATAGCTTTGAGCTGCCATCTCAGCCGATGAGCCATCCGGCCATCTCCTTGTTAGTTACTGATTCTTCTAAATTCGAAAAATAAATAAATACTAAAACATTTATTTAAAGTAGATAGCATTTTGTTTTACACAGTCGCTTCGTATCTTTCTCCGAAAGTTGACTCTTTATTGGCACTTCTCCAAAATAAAGCTTCTTTATTCGAAACAACTTAGATCAGTGTTTTTCAACTGTTTTTTTGATAGTCACAACCGAACTTGGTAATGTCTTTCTTGCACACCCCTATTTTATCAACGTACAGTTGTGTGCTTTGCGTACTTTTAGTAATACACATAATCTCTTCAGTTCCAATGAAAATATTCTTCAATATTTTTAGTGTTTTTAATAAATTCTGGTTATATTCAATACATGAATGACAAAAATATCGATTTTTACTTTTTCAAGTAACTGATTTTGTTACTACAGTTTGTATATTTTAATGCACATTGATATTTTCTCTGTACACTTTGAAAGTTGTGAATACTAAAAAAGCTTAATTGTTATTATTATTTTTCTAATGAATTTTCAAATGTTTCTTGCATTTTATAAAAACTTTTTTAAAGAAATTAGATTTGATTTTTGTGCGTACGAAATGAGAAAAATCAATTATGGTTTGCTGTCAAATATAGAAATACATTACAGCGTCTTCGCTTAATTTACAATGTTCTGCATCTTACTCATTATCACTTTTTTCCTGAGCCATTAGTGCTTCTGCTAAATTGATTTCGAATTCTAAATAGTCCATGACTTTGTTTGAGGGACAAGTTGTATATGGAGAAGGAAAGACGTGACATAGGAAAGTCTGTTTTCTAGGCTAGACGGCTAATGACGTTATACCGAAACATCTCAAATCTAAGCGAAATTTATTGCAGATTACAGTCTCTAGTTATGTAAATTATAAATGTATAGACTATATTTTCATTAATAATTCTTTTCTATTTCAGGATAATATGAGAACATTACAAGTTGGATTAATATTTTGTTCTATGCTCTCCATATTATATTTTTTGGTGGACTTTCGTCTATTATCAGGTAAAAACGGATAATATATTTAAAATTTTTCATAATTTTATATATAATTTTTTTTTCANTTTGCGCAATTGAATCGACTGCACGACATAATCCTTCCATGTCTACTATTGTATTACTGTTCACTAAACACCACGTTAAGAATGAATTTTCCAATGTACAGATGATATAATTTTTTTTTCAGATCATAAATCTGCAACTAAAAATATATTTTTTATTGAAACTTCTGGAGCTTCTTCACTAAACTTTCGTCAGGTGTGCGCAATTGAATCGACTGCACGGCATAATCCTTTCATGTCTATTATTGTATTACTGTTCACTAAACACCACGTTAAGTATGAATTTTCCAATGTGCAGATGAGATCAACAACATTCGAAGAAATATTTGAAGGTACCCCTTTAGAAAAATGGTACTTTCAGAAGAAGTGGAATAGAAGCGTTTACAAAGTTTACCACTTGAGTGATGCAGCCAGGTACGCTGTAATTTGGAAGCATGGGGGAATATATTTAGATCTAGATATTATTATGTTGAAGTCTTTACCTTCTTTCAGTAACTTTGTACTTAAAGCACGCGCAAATAGGATATGTAATGGCATTTTTGGATTGCAGCGGAACCATTCTATACTTTATAACTGTATGAAGGACTTCGTAAAGGTGTATAAAAGTAACTGCTTTGCTTGTGTAGGACCGATTCTATTTACTAAACGTTTCGTTTCGTTTTGTGGCGAAAAAAATGTAGACGATGTCGAAAAAAGAAAAAGTTGCAATGTTAATATTTTGAACCCGATTTCAGCTTTTCCGGTTCCGTATCGTAAATGGAGAGATTACTTTACAAATTCTAAGAGTCTAGACATAATTGAAAAAATGAATAATTCCTATATGATCCACGTCTGGAATAAATTTTCTTCTAAAAAAATTTTACATAAGAATTCAGGAAGCGTCTACGAAATTGCAATGACACGAAACTGTCCTACAACTTATGCACAAGCAATCAAGAGTGGTGGTAAGCTGTAGGCTAAACTATTAAAATTATTTTTATTTTCATACTTAATGGAACAATAAAATATTTAAATAAAGAAAGAAAAACGCAATCTATCATGACAGGATTTAATGATTGTGTTGTCAAGATTCGATAGAATTGGGCTTTGAGTAAATTTCTTTTGAGAATGAGTTTGAAGATATTTCTCTAAGAATCTTTGTTTTCTTATTTTATTTATACTTTATTCTGTAGATTTGTGACAACTGTTTATTTGTTGAAACTTATAATGCATAATAACCGATAAACTCTCTTCATTCCTAGGTAAAGTTGAAATATGGTGATTAGAGTAGTTTAGGTCTTTTACTAATAAAAAATATTATAATTAAAAATAAAGATTGTTTCTTTGCATTGAGCAGCACAATTAACAACTATTCCTTCAGGGTATTAGAAATTGAGGGTTTGAACTGTGCCTCAAACAATTTTACCTTCCGTGTATATTATATATGGAAGTTAAAATTGTTTGAGACAGTTTTATATATATATGTTACAGTCAAAACCCGTTTTTAGTTAGAACGCGTTTTAACTAGTTGAAACTAGTTTATACTGAATGTCTTTGTTAAAACCCGTTTTGTCTAGTTAAAACTAGTTTTAACTCAAATTCATTTTTGACTAGCAGTAAATTCTAGTTTTAACTAGACAAAACCGGTTTTGTCTAGTTAATTTACTGCTGTACATGTTTTGACTTTAGATAAAACTAGTTTTAACTTTTAACATTAGTTATAACTAATTTTAGCTAGATAAATATGTTTGGGGGAAATAAAGTTATGTGTAGTGATTCGGCGGAAGATGCCTAACATTTTGCTTATGAAAAAAATTACAGCGCTAATTTGAGTTTAGAAGCCCTCTAATGAAAATATCATATTCTGGAGTATATCTTTCAAATAAAAGTTTGGGGTTTATTTTAAAAAATTCTATACTGTGTTTGCAATGACGACTTTTTCACTGTCTGGCATTTTTAAGCATCTAACCCCAAGTATCTGAGTGAAATGCCAAATGCCATTAGGGTAAGATAACAAATATAATTGCATAAAATTAATTTTTGAATTTCTTAACCAAATTTAATTTATTGCATATGTAGTACAAAGTACTTCATAGTAAGTATAACATCACAGTATAAGTATTGTTAAGTTTCTGCCCGTTCTAACGTCTGCTATAGCTAGCTGAAAGCTTTTTTCAGTCCAAAAACTTTTTTGAGAAGTCCTTATATAATTTCTATGCATATCCTGCAATAAAACGAGAAAACAAAAGTTTATTNTATTAATGTTAATTTTATTTCGAACGAAGTAATTTTAATTTTAAAAAATAAATTTATTTTAAAAAAATATAATTATTAATAATAAATGTAGTGAATAATTTTAAGGGTTTTTTTTTGGATTTTTTTTAAACCTTGCTGTCACGATCTGTCAAATTTTTTCGCAGCTTACTAAAAAAAATATGTCACAATTTAACAATGTATCTCTATATTACGATTTGTTTATGAAATTTAAAATTCAAAAATACGCTTTTATGAGGCTTACTATCTTAAAATAAATCAAAGAATTGTATGAATTAATGATTAAAGTATAATAAAATAGATATATTTATATCTATAATTTATATATATATTTTTTTAATCTTATATTCTTACCTTATCTGACAATCCTCCCCTCGTCAAAAATTGTCACATTTAACGAATTTCTCCCTCTCATGCGTGACATTTATGAATAATTCTAAGAAAAATTACGTGTTAATAAATAATATAAATTACTTTAATAAAGTTATATTAAATATCACATTCCCACAAAAAATAACGTGTTGTTTAATATAATTTTCTTAATATTTCAATTATATTTTTAAAATAATTATACATAATTAAATAAATTCTAGTTAATTTATTAAAATAAACTTTATTTCTTAATTTTAACTAAAGAAATTAAGAGAGATATTTTTTTAAAATTAATTTTAAATATAATTTTACACTTTTTTTTGCAAATTAAACTCTGTTTTTATTCGCTTATATGCTTAATTTTATTATGAAAAACAATTTATCAGAATTTAGCAATTATTTTGGTATATAAATTCCACAACAAATTAAATTTACTGAGGGTATTATTAATTTAATATTTTATGGGGTATGAAGAGTGAAACACGTTAAAAATTCTAGTGCAGATGGAAAAATGATTGATGTAAAATTTAACAAAATAAAATAAAAATTTTATTGTATAAAAATATCTCGTATAATGTTTTCTATTTAATGAAACAACCGCATTATCAACAACTTTGCTGTTTACAAACCATATACCAGCTAGGTCATAACAATTCTGTCTAGTACAGTCAATAATTCCACACGACATCTCCATAGTAATTGAATACATTAGAGAAACATGGGAAATATACCGTCTGGGGGTGTTATAGCGTGTATACATAATGAAATTCTGCTGATACAACTGTATAAAAACTAAAAAATATACATTAGAGAAACATGGGAAATATACCGTCTGGGGGTGTTATAGCGTGTATACATAATGAAATTCTGCTGATACAACAATATAAAAACTAAAAAATATATACTTTAGAAGATGATCTAGTATCAAAAACGTTCGATTTAGCACCCCACACAGTCCTCAGAAAAACAACACACGAAAGTGCCAGTGCTGTCAGCTAAAACACACACACCAACAAAAAAAAATATTGTAGTAGCCCAAGATATACGCAAAGTTTGCAGCGCAACAGCAGTAGCGAGAATTTAAATTTGCCGACTGAATGCTTTCGGATAACCGACTTTCGGATAAACGACGCTCTACTGTAATATAAATTTTACAATTTACTATTGTATAGAATTATAATAAATTTAAATTTACTTTTAAATATTTAATATATTTAATAAATCGAGATTTATTTATGGTTTAATATGGAATTTGAAATCATAATTTATAATAATAAGTGGATAAGCACATCACTAATTGCGTGGTTTATATAAATTAACTCAGAAATTGTATGAAAATTCTTACAAATTTAATAACCTATCAGTGGCGTGCCGTGACATTTGATGAGAGGGAATTTGATGAGAGGACATTTGATGTAAGAAGCCGACTTCCAGGGGCAATCAGTCAGTGATACAGTACCTCAGGGAAACATCACCATCCAAATAATATGTAAACATATTGGAAATTGCACCGCTGGGACAACAGGATATAATAAGCAAACCAGCCGCTAAACTCGATTCGAATTGAAATATAATATTATAAAGAAATCCAATTAATGGCATTATAATAAACTGGCAAAACAGTTCAATGGCTGGACCAACGGGTTTTCGAATTCCTGTATAAATCTATTTGCATATAAAGTATTTTACATAAGATATTAATTCGAATAGAAGAATGTGATAATATAATAACGAGTAATACCTGATTCCAGGAAATATCAGTTCCCATAGATATCCCATAGCGATCATGGTCATTATTATTATAATTGTTATAGGAACATTTTGAGCCATTTTGAGATCTTTATTAAAATAATAATTCGTTGTGTTGTTTTGCGTGGCATCGTTTCCAAGAAAATAAAAAGTATTGTTTTCCATTTTTCTTATAGTATATGAAAGTATAAAATGCAATAATTTTTGCTCGACTTACGTCAACTTTTCAATATTAGGAACGTGTCGTGTAATTTGTGTTATCAAACAATTTCTGTAAAGATAAATTAATGAAAATGTAAGTTGAAGAAGAAAGAATTCCAACTTAATTGATCAAATTTATTTATACACATTGAAGAAAACACTTTTTCCTGTAAGAAATATAATTTGCAAAGTTCCGAAAGTTGACCACTTGAAAAGTTCTATTTTAAAGTTTCGTTATAGAAAATGCTCAAACCTTATTATGGTTCACAGAATGAAACGGTTTGGATAATTGTATTATCGTATTAAACACTGTCTTTGTGCCAATATGAATCAAAATTGATGGGGACACAAATGTAATATTGCTTGTTAGGGGATGAGCCGGCATCAAATCCAAATAGTGAAAAATTTCTGGGGGATTTTTCTGACCAGTGACTTATCCCGGACATCCGTCACTCACCACCCGATTGTTCCCGTTGTGGATCCGAACGAATTCATAATAGGTACGAAAATGGCCCTGTTAGTAGGATGGAAAGAGTTAAAATATACAAATATACAGAATGGTGCAGCACATCAATTTGGAAAGATTTAAAAATACATTTAATTATATTTAGTGACACAGCTACAACTTTGTTACTAAATAAAGCTTCATCACTTTTAAGTATAAATTATAATTAGCAATAAGATAAGAGATTTTGCTACGTAGCTTACTTTATATTCAAAGTGTATAAATAGAGACCAAGATATATGAAATATCTTGGAAATATCTTTCATAATAGCGAGGTTACGGCCGACGTTTTCAACGTGTATGTAGGACGTTCAGCGCCGCCTTTCTGCAAGCCTAAAGTTGGACAATGGCGTTTGCAACGTCGAGCATAATTTCAAACGTCATTGCCAAACTTCTAGGCTTTCAAGATGGCGGCACTAGACGTTCGAAGTTCACGTTTTATGGATAAAACTTCTGCCGCAACCTCTCTATTGAACGAGTTATGACTAATTGAATGTGAAACTACTACTCACGACAGATGGGCAATACAATAGTTCGATCACGCGGGCGCTGATCTGATTGAGTTTTGTTTATTTGGTTACCGATCGTTCAAGAAAATTGGGCTCAAAATACAGCCCTATTTAACACCAATCTTAGAGAACATTAACGACGAACAGACACTTCCATCTCTTACCATAAACGAGGAGTTTTCATACAAAGCAACGAGTAAAGATACGAACTTATAACTGAAACCATAACACAACATCTTTCACCACAACAAATTTCTACAAACCCTTTCAAACGCAGTAGATAAATCAACAAAAAATGCATACGCCTTCCTACTTTTCGTTAAAAAATTTTTTGAATAACCGTGTATTAAATAAAAATGTTATCCAATGTAGAATAACTAGTCCGGAATCCTATCTGATTTTCATGCAATATATTTTTAACTTCTATCCATCGAGTCAATCTTCCATACAAAATAGTACAAAACACAAGATGATAACCAAGTACTTCTATAATTACCAGGTACATCTCTCCTTTCATTCTTAAAGAAAAAATTCAATCAACTCAAACTGACAGCATAATTTCGGCCGAGTTTCCAAATGCCAAAGAAGATTTCGTTTAGTTTGGCGTTGTAAAAATACGCGATTTACGGACCATATGGGCGAATTGATCCAAGTTCACTTGCATAAAACAAGGAAAGTTTACCAGAAATCTGTTTTTTTTTTCTGGATTATTTGAACCTTTCATAAATGTCGTATAGTTGATTCTGACAACATTTAACAAATTG